GAAAAACTTGGGAGGCACTGTCAATACTGATTAGGACAGGAATAGTAAACTGAAAGAAATGGTTGATCTTGAGGATTGGAACAATAAGAAATAGGATGAGACTTAATAGCAGAAAATGTAAGGTCATTAACATAGCAACTAAACATGAAAATATCCATTATAAGCTTACATTCATCATCTGGACATGACAGTAAGAGGAAAAAAAATGAGAGGATAATAGTTGATGATAGCATAACTATGAACCACCGAAGTGATTTACCATGAGAGAATGCACAATGGATTCTAGAGGTATTTTTAGCAGAGACAGGGAAGTATTATTGCTACTGCAGGAGGCCTCACCTGGACTACTGCATACCATGCTGGTCCCCTATATTCAAGAAAGATTAATTCAAACTAAACCGGATAGCGAGAAGGAAAACTAAAATCATCAGGGGAAATGGAGAAAACTCCTTGGAAAGACCACGGAGGGAAAAGAACTTAAATAGTTCTAAGGACAATGATGGCATGAGAACAAACAGGTTGTTAATACCTGGCTAGGAATAAATTTAGACTGGAAACTGGAGAGTTTCTTTTCATCACTGGAGAGGAGCAGTTTCCAGAACCTTTTTCCAGGACTAGAGAGAGGAAACAACTTACCTAGGTTTTATATCAGAAGTGGGCAATTATTTGGGTCCAAGGACCACACAGAGAGTTTTGATCAGCTGTTGTGGGCTGACTCAGCACTGCCACCCCCTGTCCTCCCCCTGCCAACAATTCACCAAAACTCCCAGTGGGACCATGGGCAGGTGGGAGCAGTGTTTGGGTGTGGAATGGGAGGGGCAGGAGAGGCTGGGATCATGTCCCTGCCCTCTGGGGGGGTGTATGGAGGTGGGGCTGCCTGGGTGCTAGGTCCTAGGAGCCTCTTGCGGGTGAGGGGAGGGAGGTGGTGGGGAGATGGAGGGCGAGTGCAGCAGAGCTGCATCAAGCAGTGTGGTGTGCGCTGCCCCCGTGTCGCTCCGCATGGGGCCAAGCCCTGCCTGCTCGTACCGAGGCAGTCTGCGCCATGCTCCTGCCGGTGACCACAATCCAGCCGGGTGCTACTCCGCGCCCCCTGTCTCCAGTTCCAGGATTTGGAGCCAGACCCCCACATGCCTGCCAGGAGTGGCATGGCAGGAACGAAAGGAGGAGCTGCTGCTGGAGGCAGGGGGTGCACAGCAGCACCCGGCTGGCTGCAGCCGCCCTGGGAACAGCCCAATGGAAGCTGCTCTTGTCCCAGCACATGGGGCTCCGGCTTCAGTTTCCAGGAAGGTGGCCAGGAGCTGAAACTGGAGCTTGGGCACTGGGACAGGAGTCACCCAGCTGAAGCTGTTCATCTGCCTGGAATAGCATGGCATGGTGCAGCACAATGCAGCAGGGGCAGGAGCAGAAGCAGCTTCCATTGGGCTGTTCCTGGGGTGGCTGCAGCCGGTCGGGTGCTGCTCTGTATGCCCCACCTCCAGCAGCAGCTCTTCCTCTCGCTCCTGCCGCACCCTGCCCCACCACTCCCAGCAGGTGTGCGGGGCTCCGGCTCCAGATCCGGCAGCTGGGAGTTGAAGTCATTCCTTGCATGCTGGTGTAGGAGCCACTTGGCTGAATCTGCTCACCTGGCGCAGCGCAGCGCAGCACGGCAGGGGCAAGATCAAAAGCAGGAGCCGCCGCTGGAGGTGAGGAGCGCAGAGTAGCGCACAGCTGCACCAGGAACAGCCCCGGCAAAACCTGCACGCTGGCCATGGCCTGGACCAGCAAGCACCAGCAGAAGCCCAGCTCAGGCTGCCTCTGTGCAAGCAGGAACGACAATGCCCCATGTGGAGTGCCGCAGGGGCAGCCATGGGTCGGATCCAGTCACCTGGCGGGCCGAATCTGGGCTGCGAACTGTATTTTACCCACCCCTGATTTAGATGGAAATGATTAATCTATGAGCAAGATTTTATGAAGTAGCTGCCTGCAGTAGCAGGGGACTGGACTGATGGAAGAGGACCTATGTAATAGGTTTCTGTGGGGCATCTGATACTGCAGTCAGACAAGATTTTAAATTAGCTGGACCCCAGGGCAAATGCTTCTTCTCTCAAAAAGAAGTGGTGCAAACAAACATCTTTCAGACTCTACACAATTGCAAAATCCTAGCCCTACTTGAAATTAATATGAGTTTTGCTGCTAACTTCCGCGGAGCTGGGATTTAGAAGGCGCCTTGAATGCCACGGGAATGCAGGCCCAGGCCTGAAGTGTGTCATTTCTGTTACTACATTTGCCAGGATAGAAATGTGCTCTTTATGCAACTAATAGCAATCCATACTTTTAATACAGAAAGAAATATATAACAGATGGTCAGGAAAGTTTTTCTTGAAGAAAGAAATCCCTGCAAACCTAGTTTTAAAGGAGATACCTAAATAATATTTTAATGCAAAACCCTAAAGGAAAGTACGTGTGGTCTGCAGAGAACACACATCACAGCCCTTTAAGAAGTATTACCATTAGCACTTTAACAAGACAAAAAGCTTTGGGGTTTTTCTTAGTTTGTTTCACTATAACTCATTTTAAATTTTGCATAAACCAGGCCTTTGTTTTTTCATTCTCCAGCTGCCTCTTGGGAGCTTCATAATGTCTGCGCCTGGATTTTTTCCCCTCCCTTTGGATGAGAAAGAAATTATTGTCCTGGTATAGGAATGTCTCTCCTGGATATTGTCCAAATGTACTACCAGAGTACACATGCTTACTAGGTATTAAATGTAGTCTCTGCTATGACTTTCCCACTCAATAAACCCTCCCCAGAATGAAGTGCACACACAATTCAGTTATCAACATGATCTCAGACAAATATATGAATATTAATATATATTGTATATTTTTCTTACTATGAAGTAAAGCCAGCATTTGTAGTTTTAGCTTTGTAGAGTTTTTAACATGGCATTTTACAAAATATTCTGCTTTAAAATAGTTAATTCCTCAACTAATAAGAAATTAGAAAAAAAAAAGGAAGTAAACCTACCAATTTTATCTTATTTTTCTGAATGACATCTTTGTTGTCTTTCTGGTACATCTCCATTTTCTTTTTGGTGTTTTCCAAATCCACGTTGTTCGTCAAGTTAAACACTGTTTCAATATTTAAAAAACACAGAAATCCACAAATTAGAGTAGTAATACAGCATGCACAACCATCAGCAAGCAGTACCCCTATTAAAACCCTCGTCTCTATCCCCATAAAACTTTACATCGCTAGCTTATTAGGCATTAAATGTGGCAAAAATTCACTTAGATACACACAGTAAGGGCAGAACCTAACTTATTACATCCCTGGAGGCTCTAAACTCTAAAGCAAGCTATCAAAGCCAATAAAGTTCCTCCAGATTTACACCTGTGTAACTGAGATCAGTACCTGATTTTTAGCTTCCTTTGTGGTGAGCCCTTGACCAACATCAATAGCCAACGTATCTGCAGCTTTTATAACAAGCAGTTTGTTCTTTGTAGCCACAAGCTGAAGTTAGACTAAGGCCACGTACAGATGTTCAGTTTCTCCAAGGAGAGTTGCTGCTCTCCCAGGAGAAACCAAGAGCATACAGAGATGCCCAGGATTTTTCTCCTACAGCAAATATGGCCACTCTGGAAGAAATGTAACCTAGGAACAACCAAGGTTAACACCTGGGAGAGTTTCTTCTAAGACAGTGAATGTCTGTACATGTACTCTTCTGAGAGAAACTACGGCATAGTCCTTCAGCATCCCAGGGTGCTTTTCTCCCCTCCCCCAAACAGGGAGCAGAACATGTCTCTAGCAGTGTTGGATTGTAAAGAAGGGCCGACCCTGAGCAGTGTAAGTCAGCCAATCAGGGCTGCCCTGCGCACAACTGCCATCTGCCTCCAGGCAGACTGGGGGAGCCTGCAGAGCATGCTGAGATGTGTGCACAGAGGCCCCTGGCTGTACCAAATCAGCACTGCAAGCTCTTTGTTCTTCAGGGACGCAGCATTCAAATGTCCATTCACAAGCCTCTGGCTAAGATTTTCTACCAGGAGAACAAACCTGGGAGAATTCTCCCAGATTATTTGAATTCGTGTACACATCCCAAGTAAAAATGCATACATACACATACCTGATAACAAACAAGGGCCTTTTATTTTATGATCTGTCATGGACACAAGCACTTATCAGACAGCACTTGCATTATGCTGACCAAAATACATTTCTATGTTATTTGAGAATTTAGAGGCACTAGGATACAATTTCACTTACTTTGAGGAGTCTTTATATTTATGCAGAGATCCATCAAAAGAAACCAATTTAACCAATTAACAGCATACACCGTGCAAAATGTGCATAACAAATAGGAAAAGAATACGCTCCCTTTAGCTTGTGAACCGAAGAAAGGAGGGTCAGCCAGCCAGCACCTATGACTCAGCTGAACATTTCCAATCACACACATTTTATCAGGAGGTGCCTTAAAATACAGAAGGCTCTGTAACCAATAGTTTGGGCGAACTTCCAGTAGATGGCTCAGGGAATCAGTAATAGGGGACAGGGCTGGTCACTTCTAGGCCACTGGTTCAAATGTGGTTCAAGTCAATTTGGACTCAAAAACTTCATCAAGAAAAACTATTTAGTTGCTTCTGTGCAGCTCAGAAAGGACACTAGACTGATATCCTGTTCTCTAAAAGCCAGCGCACATGGCAATCTTCCTGCATATTCAGTAAAAACATCAAGGACTGAATCATCCTCACTTCTGGTCCTTCCAGACTATGGCCAAGAAACACTGGCTGGGAGGCTCACGTTGCTCCACTACATCCCTTGTAAATAAGCAATGATGCATCTCGTGACTCAAAGAGTGTGCACAGTCTGACTCGCGAGCATAGGAAAAAAAAACAAACTTTCCAGCAGTTCCAGTATGAGCCTGGAACTCTGAATACCTGGTTCAGATCTCTCCCTCCAAAAACTTCCTGTTTGACCCTGGACAACTCATTTCATCTTTATACCATGTGCTAAGGGGATAAAAGTACCTCCCTAACTCTCAGAAGTGTTGGGAGGAGTGTCTGAGGAGCTCAGAGTACAGCAAAAGGGGGGTCACAAAATGCCTTGGATGCACATGTTGAGTCTGAGAAGCAGAAAAGAGGAGAAGGTCGGAAGAAGAAGGCAGCGTGAAAAGTTCATGCAGTTATTTGTAAGGCAGCATAGTTGAGTTCTATTAGTTGAGGCTGGTCTGATTTATATCCTCCCCTTCTCCATATCTGCATAGGTGAAATGGAAGAAGGGAGGGAGTGGGGCTGAAGAAGGGGTAGGCCCTGCACAGCCGGGGCATGGGACAGAGCCACGAGCGACTCGTCTGGGGGCTGCAGGGGCACGCCGCCTGGGAGGGCATTGAGGGTTTGTGCCCCCGTATCTTCGTGCCAGTTGAGCTGGCTGCTGCTGCAGGCTGTGCCGGGCGGCACTGGGAGTGGGGTATGCGGGAGGCTGCAGGCACCAGAAAATTCGTCATAGCCCCCAACATAGCATCCTCCCGGCGCAGCTGCCAGCTGCCCGGCCCAAGCGCAATGCAGCCCAGACCCCTGCCATGAAGAGCATGGTGCTGCCTTCCAGGCCCAGCCCTCCCCACTGTGCTGATCCTGGGGCGAGGGCAGTGGGAAGAGGAAGGCAGAGCCATGCTCTTCATGGCGGAGGTCTGGGCTGCACTGCACCCGCAATGGCAGCTGCCTTCGTCACGCACAGATGGGAGGGTATGTGCCCCCCACAGCCTCCACCAGGGTGCACACAGTGGCAGGAGCCCCCCGGCCAGACAAGCCACCCAGGCTCAATCCTCCTACTACCCACCCAGCCGGGGCCCCACTCAACTTACCTCTGCTCCTACCTCTGCAGCATCTGCCCCTCTCCATGGGGGCCTCGATCTGGCCACTGCCCCTTCCCTCCCCCACAGACTGACCTGCTGGGCTGGCAGTGGGGCATGCACGTGCTCAGCCCCCCCACCTCTGAGATCTACCACGGTTTGTGACCACTGGCCAAAGACACAGGCAGGCCAGGTTCCTTCAGGCATAGGAAGCAGCTGCTGTTCTGAGACTCCAAGGAATGAGAGAAGCTAAAAGTGTGACAGGATGCCAGTGAGAATGTAACTAGGTGGGAATTAGGAACACAAAAGGTAGAGCAGTGAAGGGATGGGGGAAAATGAGACAGACAGCCTCTTTTCTACTTTGACAATATTTGTGTTCCTAATTTCCACCTTTTTACATTCTCACTGACATCCTGTCACACTTCCAGCTTCTTTCATTCCTTGGAGTCTCAGAACTGCAGAGACTCCCTATGCCTGACAAAGGGCGACTGCGCCCAAAAGCTCACAAGGAACTTTTTTCCAACTACTCAGTCGGTCTAATAAAAGGTATCACATCTACCCAAAGAAACATGCCTGCTTAGAGAACCGGGACACACTCAGACTTAATGCATTAGCCCCACTTCCTGAAAGGCTTGCTAATTCCATCAGTCCCCTTTATAAAAAGCACTCGCGTAGCATCAATAAAGTGTGACAAATATTTGTAGCTGCCTAGAGCATTTTGGAAAAGTTGCCATAGAATTTACAGGAGCCCTTGGGCTACTTTGCCATCAGAAGCACTTGGATATTCATCAGTCAGCTATGGGAATCTGTAATCCTTTTCATTGCACAAAAGTGAGGCTGAACACGATGAAGAGGCAATGAAGTGCCAGTTCACAGTCACCAAACAGTGTTTTCTCTTACAAGACAAGTATCAAAGGATTTTCCTTTTACTTCCAAAACTGCTGAGCATCCTCTGTCCCCAGGTAACCTGGAAAAGTCACGTCAAAAGCAGGATGTCTTGGGCAGGGGTGGGCACAATGGCAGATCCAGCCGGCGGCTGGACTCCATTTTTCAGCAGCCCCTTCCTGTATCATTACAGCCGGTTTCCATAGAGACCCCAGGACTGGCAGGGCCATGACAGCGGGGACCCAGGGTTTCCATGGAGACTGGCCCAAGCAGTGCTGGCAGGATGTGCAGCTGGGCAAGGAGCTGCTCCAGGGCTGGGGCTGGGATTTTGCAGCGGTGATGGCATGGTCCAGAGCCAGGGCAGAGCTGCAAGCTGCAGCCTGCACACCCCAGGCACACCCTGGATCCCAGCTCTGCCCCGGCTCTGGCTTGCGCCATCACCACTGCAAGATCCCAGCTCCAGCCCTGGAGCAATTCCCTGCTTGGGCTGGTCTCCATAGAAACCCTGGCCCTACCACTCCTGTGATCTCCATGGAAGCCAGCTGCAGCCACGCTGGCAGGGGCTGCTGGGAAATAGAGTCCGCTATGGGCCCAACCTGGCCTGTGGGCCCGACTTTGCCCATCCCTGGTCTTGGGGCTTAGACACTCGAGCAGGATTTCAGAATCTGGTTTAATTTCTAGATCTGCCACTGATTGTGTGCTTCATCTTGGGCAAACCCACTGTCTCTCTGTGCTATAGTTCCCCCCACTGTAAAAATGGGGAAACACAATATTACCTTTCTCCCACATTTTGTCTGCTTGGTCTATTTAGATGTTAATTTTTTAGGGTAGGAAGCATCTTATATTTTAGCTATGCGCAACACCTAGCAAAATGGGGCCTTGATATCAGCTGGGATTTCTCAGCAGCGATTCAGTATAAAAGAACAACAGTGAGAGCTCTCTACCTTTGAAAGTTGGGACCCATGTTCTTTTGTGACAAGTTGTTCAACGTGGACACCTATTTTTTGTACCGTTACTTATCTCCTATTAGCCTACATTATATCACACTGAAGTATTGGAATAGTAAATAAAATACTCTAGCAACATCTATTTTATTGCAGCTATATTTCTTCAAGGAAACCAGTTCTTTTGGTCTTGGTTTGACCTCCAGCTTTCAAACACCTATAGGTCCCGACTCACATGCTGTTAAATATTTGAGCCCTGCAACTGAGAAGAACTGTCATATGAAAATACTGGCATGCAGTCCTGCATTTCAGATCAGATCCCGCAGTGACAGCAGCTGCACATGAATGTCAGCACTTCCTACAATTTAAATCCATGTACCAGCCCTTGATGACAAAGAAAGAAAAAAATAGAACGTGAGATGCTGGGCTACCAGGATGCCTTGGTACCACTTGTGGC